CCCTGTCCAGTTGAGATGTGATGTTTGTGTGGATGAATGATGTAAGTCTGTGAAGAGTAGATGGGAGGGCACGGCTGAAGTGCTAATATTCACAGCTGCCTCCTTGCAGTAAGAAAAAGACACAAAAGTAGTGCACAGGATGGAAGAGCACTTGCACACAAAGTACCTCAGAGGTGCTGTATTCTGGTTAGTGCACACCCCTCCAGACACAGGTGATTATGCTACCTCTGCATGGCCTTCTGCAAACGTATCAACTTGCTCTGCCCCATTCTCTGATCAGGCCGGATGAGAACCGGCTCTAGTCCAAAAACTGTGTAACTGTGGTTAGCCTGCTGTGCTACTTGAGTATCTAAGACCAGTTCTCAACCTCTGCTTGTGAAAAGCTGTGGAGACATAGGCAGCTGTGAGGAAATTTGTGCATAAGCTTTGTTATTGGAGCAAACCCACCTCACACCTCTGCTGTGCACCAGGCATGCACATGAGATACGCAGATCTCTTTGTTCAGCTCGGAAAAAAGAAGTGAAAAAAGTTCGAGTTAGCCTCAAAACTCAGCCATAGTCTAGATTTCCATGCCCAGTCCAGATCAGGGTCACAGATTAACCCCAAATACCAAAGCTTGAAGTATATAAGCCCTTCTTACTCAGCATCCTCCAGCCTCCATCTCAGTGAGTCATACCAGTTCATGGCAATGACATGAGAAAAAGATTTTAATCTTCTATTGCTTGCAGCTGACATTAATTAATAATAAAAGAGTGCTGGAAATGTGTATAGCCTCACTGCCGAACTCGGGCATGTCCCTCTTCTTTCTCCCACTCACACTGCAACAAAAAAACCAGACCTGAAGAAAGTTCTGAGGACCATGGCACCAAACCACTGCTGTTGTGACAGGAGGAAAGTTGATAGTGTCTTAGTAAAAAGCACAGAACTGGTACAAGAGTTGGGAGGAAGGTGTGTTGTCACTGCGTGGAGTGTCTGAGGCAGGATAACTCTCAGGAGCTGGTGTCTGCAACCTCAGCTGCAATAAAATTTATAATCTCATGTTCTAAACCCTAACACACTGATTGTAACCCTGCCCTGGCAAGCAATAAATATATGCTCCCTAACATTTAGTTGGGTAGGGCTTTTGAGTAACCTAAAAAAACTTCATGGATACATATAACTGCCTCACTGCTCAAATCTCTTCCAGATCAACAATCAAAAAGGTGGCAAAAACACGGCAGAACACAGACAAAGTGAGCACAGGGCTTTCACTCAAAGTCTTGACCATTTCATGCCATGCTTTGTTTTTTCTCTTCCTGACAGTTTATGATTTATAAAAATACTTTGTCTCTTAGCAGTGATTCCTGATCTTCTTTGATCACTGTGTTTTGAAGTATTAGCATCCAGACAGCATTTTTGTATGACTAGTCCTGCTTTGTACGCTTTGATCATTGCAGGAAGCAGAGAGAGGGTGTCTTTTGTGGGCTGCTGCTTTGGTTCAGCACGAAGGAGGTTATCCTCTTGCTGATGCAGGCTGGCAGCTCTAACAGAAGTGAATTCTGAGATGGGATTGGTGAAACAAGTGCATAAATACTTTGTACCCACAGCGAGATGTGCAACAGAGCTGCTTCATCTGTCCCTTGCCAAACTGGCTCTGCCAAGAGGAGCGCAGGTGCCGGCTGGGAGCGCTCAGCCTTTGCCCAGCAGAGGCCAGCACACACACGCAGTGTTAGGCAAGCTGTGCTTGCGGGACAGCGCTGGCTCGCTCCTGTCTGGCCTTCTCCGTCTGGAAAAGTCTCTCAGCCTCCTGTGAGCCCTTGTTTGAGTGAGGTTTTCAGTGAGGAACTGTAGCGCAGTAGAAACGCGCTGACATCCTACTGGGGCAGGGACAAGCTTCCACAGGCCGGGACATCACCCGGTTTATCCAGCTGTGTGCCCAGAAGCAATCCCCTTCCCTTGGAGCAGCCAGCAGCTCAGTGCTCCTGAAGGCTGGACATGGCCACAACACACACGACACTTGAGAAATGCCAGGTGCCAAGGAAATGAAAGTTGCAGGAACTGCGTTGCTGGGAGGAGCAAGCAATGGAAAGCCGTCAGCACAATGGAAGGCAATCGGCAATGATTGCCCTGGCCACCTCCCTGCACTTTGCTCCTCGTTTAGGCTCATTTGCAGTTCATTTGCGGACAACAGTAAGGGCCACACCAGAGCACGGGCACTTGGCTACTTAGAAATCAAAAGCGTGAGGAGCCTCGAGGAGAGGCCGGTAGCCCGGGAAAGAAAAGCAAGAGTCAGCACCAGTACAGAAGTGAAGGAATCTCCTTACACAGCTGGAACAAGCAGTTTGTGCAGCTCTGCAAATAGCCTTAAGGAAAGTTTTTTTACTTACGCTGTTTGAAAGGGCAGAAAGGATATGTCGTCCCTTGCTGCTTGGGTGATAAGGACGTTCTCCCAGGAGAACTACTCTTTATAACAGAGAGAGACTGCCTCCCAGATACCTCACAATTACAGAAGAAAGCAGAGGTCAAAACCCAAAACTGGCTTGAACTATGCACAGATCATGTTCTGTGATCAGGTTTTTGCGGGCAAGACGGTGGCAAAGCCAAGTCAGAATGGAAGATGTGTCTCCTGGGACCAGCAAACACCAGAATAGCTCAGTTTGGCCAGGATGGTTGAGCGCAACACTGGTCGGAGGCCTTCCAGCTCACAGTCAGCCGTGCAGAGGGAGGGCACATTGACTGATGATGCCAAGAATATTGCTTAGGTTTTGGAGAGGATGTTGTTGCAAACCCATCTCCCAGTCTCACCACTTGCTGCTTATTTTCATTCTGAGTTGCAGTGATATGTCTGAGACGTTACCAGTGACTGGGTCTAGCAATTCTGCGGGCATTACACAGAACCCCACCCAGCCTGAAGACTTGCACAGCTTTGCAGCAAAAATATTGTCTCCATATGTGTGTGGGCACAGGTGACATACATCACGGTAGGACCTTCTCCATCTGCAGCTAAAACCAAGCTTAGCATTTTATAGCCGTGAGAAAATACAAAGGTCGCAGCAAGGGTGGAGATCGCTCGCTGTAGCCAACACTGCAAGCTTTGATGGGACTCTGTCTCATCCAGCAGTGAAGAGCATGAGCCTGCAGTGCCCTCCACAGCAAACCACAAGCAAGGTAGCAGTAGCTTTTTTCTCTGACTGTAAACCAGGAAGCATGGGAACATCAGAATCCTAAGGACCAACAAAAGTGAAAGTGAAAAATCTGGGAGAAAATCCACCAGAAGCTGAAGGAGCAGACTCAGAGCCTGTAAAGACAAGCTCATCTAGAACTGGAGTCAGTTGTCTCTCTCAGGCTTAAAGGGACAAATTTTAGAGAAAAGCATCTTGGAAAGAACCTGTGTAGCCTGACTGGCTCAAAGCATGGCCTGTGCAAGGAATCAGCAGCTCTGTTTTTGAACCAATGGTTAGAGTGAAGCCTACTGGTGTGAGCTCTAGCAGAGATGGGTGGTGTAAGACACACTGAAATTGCTCCTGTAGATGTATTCTGCATGTCATATATGCAGAAACCCAGCTCCCTGGCTGGAATAACCACTGTCCTTCCCTAAATGTGCTCATCCCTCATCCCAGAGCCACACAGACAAGGGAGGGCCAGTGCAATCACCCATTGCCTCAGCACTGCTTTTGTAGGTTGGTGACACTCAGGCCAGTGTGCTGACACTAGGCACCTCTGACCACAGTGCTTCCCTTGCTGGCACAGAAACTGGAGGCAGGAGGCTTACGAACATCTGAAAAGACCATGGCAGGAGAAATCACAGTGCTGCCTGCACCTATCCTGAGGACAGCTTGCTGAGACACGGCAGTATTTGGTTATCATCTTGCTAGTGCAAACCAGAGAGAGAAAACCTGCACAGCAAGGCACATTACAGACTTTACCCAACTGCTCTTGAGGGCTATGATGATGGGCCAAAACCCATCTGGAAATAGGCTGCTTCTCTGTGCACGCAAGAAGGATATCTACAAATTTGGTCTATTTCCCTCATTTAAAAGCCTACATCAGCAGCACTGCTTGTGGTACTCTATGCTGAAAAGATTGCAGCTGATGCTCCTTGAAGATGGCAGCAGTTCTGAGCCACTGTTAGCAACAGAACTGTTGGCAGGTGGGCTTCAACCTTCCGTGTAGAGTGGGGCTGATTAGTGGGCTGCTGGCTGGTGTAGGGTAAGAGACTGCCTGTTGGGGCTGGCTTGTGTTTCCAATAAATCAGACTCAGAAGTACTAATCTACTCCTCTCTGACCTTTCAAGTTTCATCTGTTTCAAAGCATGAGGTAGTACAGCAGCCTTTTGTGGAGCTGTGACTGATAAGGGGAGGAAGGGGAAAGAATGTAGGCTGTAGCTACATGCCTTAGCAAGGTACCTTGGAGCAAGAGTCCTGCTTGTCCTGTGCGCTCCAGGAAAACACCACCAGCTCCCTCCATGCCATGATGCCCCTTCCCAGCTGTGCTGCTGGCCAAACTGAAGGCTCCACCAGCCCACTAAGACCTGCCTGTGAGCTGACACAACATGGCAGTGCACCTCCACACATGCAAGGGGAGCATGTGGAGGCACAGCCACCAGTAGCAGGGAGCTGAGAGGGTCAGCAGGGATGAGACCTGTGATGCTACATGGCATGTTATACTCATTAGCCAGGTCTAGCCCTGCAGCAAGGAGGGACCCATCCTCCCCAGGGACCTCATCACGCCACAAACCATTGCTCCTCAGCCTGCCCAGCCTACATGCATCCTTCCAAATGTGGGGCTCTAGTTGCTGGCCCTGGATTAGACTCCTGTGCATGCAGGGCTGTTTTCTGGGCTCCAAGTTCTCCCCTCCTGCTTGCCTGTGTCTTCACTGTATCATGCCAGGCCTTAGGAGTGACTCAAATCCTATTCTGGAAACAAAGAGTTAAGCATTTTCAATCTTTATTTTACAAAAATAAACCAGTTTTGCCCTGACACTCTGTGGCCCCCAACCTTCCCCTCCACCCCTGCTCCCTTTCCTCTTCCTGGAGGTCTGGCTGTTGCGTGCCACAGCCAGCTGCTCTTATGGAGGCTGCCAGTGCTGCACACTCCTGTGAGTCTCCCCAAGCAAGGACCAGAGAAGGGGGTTGGTGCCCTTTTGTGACTGCCTCTTCCTCCCAGAATCCAAGCTGGAAACTGTCCAAATATGCCTCATAGTGGCTCTGCCATTTCTGCACAGGGAGCAAGTCTTAGGAAAATCACCCAGAATACATACTTTAAGAAGGAGTGTCCATCTGTCCAATTCCTTCCCATGGATGGAAAAGCAAGCCCCACAAAGTTACTTCTTGGCATCAGTGGAGCTGGCAGGCTGCTGTCCTGCTGGCTGGCTCAGTGCTGGAAGCGTGGGGAGCTAATATGGGGCTGGTGAAAAGAGTGTGTGGCATAAATCACTTCTGGAGGTGGTGGAGGGGGTGTCAGGATGGAGCAGAGCGGTTCATGGGAGCTCAGCATCGAGGTGAAGTGTTTCATTTCCTCTGTCAGCTGCTTGATCTCCCGGCGCAGGGCAGCATTCTGTCTCTCCAAGTCCTCACTCTCCTGAGGAGACAAAACCGTAGGGGCTTCCTCAGCATGGGACCCACAGGGATGAGGTAGGGACATGGGGGCTGTGGTCCTTCACCTCTCTGCTCCACAGAATTTCCAGAATGATATATTTCTGGTAAATTCATCACAGATCCACGCCTGGGCAAACCCTCCTCCGCCAGCTGGCCAGGCCGGGTGTGGGTGCGATGCCGGCAGCCCCAGCCACGCTCCCCGGCCCTGGCTTACGAGAACTGACTGTGGCTTGCTCCCGCCCAGGCTTTCTCGCTCCCTCTCATGCACACACATCTCCGGCGCTTCCCGGGCAGCCCAGCCCCCAGGGGAGAGCACGTTGAATAACCGCCGTCTTTAACCAGAAAACCACCTGCCACAGGAAACCTGTCATGGCCCTGGAAAGAAGAGACTCACTGCTTCCTGCTAGCAGCCGAGGAAAGCAGCAGCACGATGGCGAGGAAGGAGACATTCTTGAGTCAGAAGAAAAGAGAAACTAAGGCCTCAGAAGAACTGAATTAATACTGGTATTAATGAGAATAACAACAAAGGGGTTAATAATGACACTCAGCCTTGTCTCAACTGCTGAGAGCATCAAAGCCTTTGCTACCTCTGCTTCTCCTAAAGTGCAGCCAGCTCCAGCCTGAAGCATTGCAGGCATCAACTGACGATGGAGCCAGCAGCCTGGGCAGGACCAGAGGACTGGAAACTCAGCTGAGAGAGCTAAAGCAAGACCCAGCACCTGGAGGCTCTGGAAAGCTGCACCACCACCTTGGCAAAGCCAACCTTCTGCTCACCCCTCTTCTGCCACTCTGATTCCTGGTGGTAACCACTCTGTGCACAGGTTGACATGCATCTAGCAATTACAGCTGCTGTCACAGCAGGAGCTCACACAGCAAACAGCATCTCTCAGGCATGACCAAATGGTTTGGAAGTCATGACTCTTGTTGAACTCAGGAACTGATGGGAATCACCCAGGGGCCAGGAGTCACAGCTTTCCCATGACTCATTCCCCTCAAAACACAAGGTAGAAAACCCTGGGGCAGATGGAGCTGGTGGCTCCTTTCATACCACCATAGCTCAAAACAAGCCATGCTTTTCCATGAAGAACCACATCAGAAAAACAAAGTCCCTGATGCAGAATTGACCAAAGGCAAAGAGTGCTCAGGGAATGAACCCAGGTGCAGCAAGGGTTCACTGTCCACTGGAATTGAAAAAAAAAACTAGCAGAAATTTACCAGCCATCATCTATTTGCCTCCCTGCATTTTTTTTATCTGCCTGTCAGCATCCAAACTGGACTTAGCCCCACTGCCCCATCCCAATGGGAGCAGTGTGCTAACAATACTAGCTGAGCAGGAGTAATCTCATAAGCAAAGTTTGTTATCTGCTCTAAGAAAAGCTGCCCAATTCTGCTTGGTGCACAGCTAGGCAGGATTTTCCTGGGGGGAAGCTCAGAGTCCATACATACCTCTAGGATGACCATGGAGAGAGCACTGACCCCAAGGAAAGGGTATTTTTTCACCTCTCTCAGATACAGTTGTCCAGAGCCATTGCTGCTGGCTGATGTAATGCAATCAGCCTAGAGCCATGTCAGCTCTAGAAGGTTCATCAGCTACCGAGAAAAGAGTGAAATCTCTGTCTTAAACCTAGCTCCAACCATGGGCTAAGGGCACTATGTAAGGAGAAAGCTTCAGAACCGTATTCTCAAGAATGATTTCCAATAATAGGAATATGGAGAATGCTAAATCATAGGATGTGTTTTCAAACATGAGCTCAACTACCACTTTTCAAAGGACAGCCAAGCCCAGAATAGGGATAAAGATGGTTTCTGGCCACTGCAGGCTGCATGTTCTTCATCCTTCCTACCAGTGGCCGAAAATACATGAGACTGCATTTATCAATGTGCAAAATGCAGAGCATCCCAGCCCTTATGCTCCAGCACTGCTGGCATACGCCTGCTGAAACACACACAGCCAGAAGTGACCATACCTCCTCAAAGGCAGATATCTAATTCTTCACACCAGAAAGAGCTGTTGGGGGTGCCCACAGTGCCACAGAAAAATATCTTTGTGTGCTGTTGCACCTCTGCATAAGCAGCGGCATGAATCTCAAACCTGGGGAGAGCCAGCCCAGGTGAGATTGCGCTTTCAAAGAGCTCAGCCAGAAGAGGTTGGGAAAGGAAATAGGTAATGAATGACCAAGAGATAAAGATGGATTCAAAACTAGCTGCAAAACTAAATGCTTCTGTGGCAGTCATGCTGGGCTGTGTGCTCTCACTGCAAGCGCTGACTCCTACATCCTGCCCTGGCCTTACCTCTCCTGTCCTACGTCCATTGAGCATCTCTGCTCCCAGTCCCAGGGGAAAAGCACGTTGTTGTCTCTTGTGAGTCCTCAGCATCAGGGATGAGAAAGGATGAGAGTGCTTACCAAGTGCAGTGTGTCTGCTTTCTGGGTCTGCCTCAGGCGGCTCTTCTGGGCAGCAATGCGATTCTTCTCCCTCCTTTGGACTTTCCTCATGTCATCAGAAGAGTCCTAGGGAAACAAGGCATGGAAATGACTGGCTAATTCTCTCACTCACCCTTCTCCTGCAGGGCAGCAGTTGGAAAAGGGACACAGCAGATAACATCATTGAAGCACAGGACACACCCTCCACACCAGTATAAAGCTGTAGGCCAGGGGATGTGTGATGCTTTTAGTAGCCCTGTTGCCAGGAAGGGCACATCTGACATCTTCGGGGATCCCAGCACAGCTGGGAAATGACCACTCTCCCTTCACCAACACACTGGCCTGGGATATAGTTTGATGGACCAGAATAAAGGACCTCCTTCTGGAAAAAAGACAATTTGAATTCTTGTACAGGACACCTTTTCCTTTCCTGTCTCTCTGCAGGGTAATGACACTGCAGACATTCCAGATCCTTGGATACACCATTTTTTTCCAGATATTCAGCCTGTGTTTTCCTCTTTTCACCCCTGTAGGTCCCTCCATTCTCTATCACCCTTCTGCCTCAGGCTTTATTTGTTACAGACCCTCACAACACAATTTGGCCCCTGCTTTGTTTAACTAGACAGACTCATAGCTTTTGTTTTTAACACAGATCTCATTTGTTCCACCTCTCTGATCTCTGTCCTTGCTCTTTTCTGGAGTCCCCTGTTAGCGATGCCTGCAGTGCTGACTCCCAAGCCCCTTGGGCAGCCCCTTGTTCCTGGAGAACAGAGATCTCCAGGCTTCAGATCATGAGCTTCATGCATCAGCCATTCTCTGCTGAGATCTGGTCCTTCTGCTGCCTTATGACAGTTGAAACTGTCACACATACTTTCATCTTCTGTTTTCATATGGCACTGCCCTTCTTGTGGACTCTTTAACATTCACACCACCACTTCTCCACAAGACTACAAAACTCAGCCACAAAAGTTATCTTCCCAGCCCATTTATCTGTCCACATCCTCTCCCCCCTCCCCCAACCCAAGATATTTTTCTTTGAACTTAACCGTTTTATCCTTGCCTTCAATACCCTGAAAACGTCTCAGATATAGCAGGTTCCATATCCTGCATCAAGGCCAGTCCCTATCTTTTGGAAAACCTTGTACTTTATCCCTGTCTTTACTAGGATGCAAGCCAGGATTCATTCCCATCCTTGTTTGGAAGCTAAAAATCATCTGCCTTGATGAACCCCAAGATTTCTGAGAAAAGTCTCAGGCACTTGCTCTTGCTGCCAGCCCTAGAGAAATGGCAAATGACAGATAAAGTAAAATTTAGCCAGTAAAGGCAGTGAGAATACCTCAGACTTATGTCTGTATCTGCCCACAAAAGACCTACCATTAAGGTATGCCATGCAACAAAACAAAATCCCTCTGTGAAGCATCACTGACATGAAAAACTGCTGAGGCTGAAAAGTTTAAAAAGCAGATCCAAAGTAGCAGGGCTTTTCTGGGTCCCGAGTGCTGTCCACAGAAGGAGGAAGCAGGCAGATTGACCCTGACCCACCCTGGTCCATGGCCAGGAGGTGCCTGCTCAGGCTCCTCACCAGAGCACCAAGTCATGCCAAAGCTTCCTGCCTGCCTGGCATGTATCACAGGATCCACCATGCCTGGGGGTCCTGGGCCCCCAGCTCCCCTGGTATAACCCCAGGTAACCAGGTTATCTCTCTCTGCCCATACCCAGCTCAGCAGCTGGAGCTTCTGTCAGGCCCTGCATCCTTCTCCCCACAGCCATTCTTAGAAAGCTCTGCCATATTGCAATGTGAAAATACGGACAGTGGGTGCCACCCAATTTCCTGCCCACCCGTGGCCCACCCTGGGGAGTGCTGGGGAAGGGCCCCTGCTTTACCTGCTTACTGGGAGGGGGAGACTGGCTGAAGCTGCTGGAATCACTGCTGTCAGAGCTGTGGGGCATGGCTGCTGTTCCTGGCTCCCAGGTTCTCTTCAGCTTCCTTTGTGCTCTTGGTGTGCCTGCTTTCAGTCTTGCTTCTCTGCCTCTCCTCTGTCCTCCTCTGTCACCTCTGATGTGGCCCTTGGCTCCCTTCTCTCACCCGTCCCAGAAGCACTCTGTCCTCCTGCACAGCACTCCGACACTTTCGCTGCCTCTCCTCTCAGAGCCTCTGCACCTTCCCTTTAGGTCTCAGCCTCCTGTGGTTTCTCAGAACCTCAGGGATGTAAGCTGAAAGTCACGTGGCCGGAAACTTTAAGGCAAAGAAGAAAAGTTACAGAAGAAAAATTTTTTAAAAAACAATTAAAAAAAAAAAGAAAAAAAAAAGAAAAAAGTACATCTGGGAAAAATGAGCTTCAAAATAGCCTGAAAAACCCCCGAAAAACACCTTCAGGCAGTTGAAAAACAGCACGATGGGTTTCCTCTGAGACAAACAGCAGAGATGGAAAGGAAGAAAACCCCCAGCTCTGGCTGTGAAACTTGGACCCTCAAAGGAGGGCAGTGCGGAGGAGGTGACACTGGGAGCCCCAGAAATTCCAGGGCCACTGTGTCCCATGCCAGCCCTATGTAGGCAGGAAGTCAGTCCAGCCCCAAGCAGCCTCAGTCACCCCAATGCAGCTGAGGAAATTCCCAAGCAGCCACACATCTCCCCACAAGCCACCCACCCCCTCCTGCCACCCCTGATACCACTGATGCGGGTTCTGGGGAGGGGACAGCTACCCTCAGCAGGTGCCACATAAACACTGCTTGTGCAGTGTTCACTTGGGCACGATGTAGCACCAGTCCCAATTAAGAAGAAAGGCTCAGGATCATAGAACATTTGGCCTGGGTTGGGTAGGACTAGTGTTTCCAATAAAGCAAAGCGATTTAGCACTTTAAAATATTCATAAGTATGTCAGCACTGGCCCATAAGGAAATACCAGCCCTGGAAGACCAAGTGCTGTAAATATAACAGTCTATGGATCAGCCCATGCAGACAGCAGCAAGGAGAAGCTGCTTTGGATCCCCTTTTTTGTCCCCCAGTCTGTGCTCTCTGGGAATACTTCTGTCCTTAGTAGGAGCCTCAGAAGACTAAAGATGTGCAATCAGCCCCTAGAAGGGCAGCAGTGCTTCAGGGGTACCCTCGGAGTATCCCATGCTAGTGGTTCTGGAGATGACAATGCAGGAGCAGGAAGTGCCAAAGTAGGGACCATTTGCTTCCTGATCTGCTCATGTCACCAGATCCAGCAGGGTGAGCCAGGGCCACATGCCAACAGGCTCTCCATTTACTGACAGGAGCACAAAACTTTAGAGCTGCTAAGTTCTTGCATGTGCAATAAGGAGCAGATCTAGAAACAGGCATGAACCCATCCACAGTAACGTACTCCTGTGGAAAACACCAATTCCCAGTTCCCAACTTAGTGGTTTTTGTTGCCTGTGGGTCTTTTGGCTGAGTTTCTCCTACCTCAAGCAGGAACAGATAGCAAGTCCCAGCAGCAGGACATAGGTAAAGGCACTTGAGATGCTGTCATCATTTGGGAAAGAGTATTGGAAATAATTTCTGTATTGCAGCACAGAAAACACACTTGCAGAGAAGCACATGCTTGGAACACAGTGCAGACTTGCATGGGCACTGCTAGCATTTCTTCCCATCCTTGCCATTCATGGAGCCAACACAGGAGCAAACATGGCCAAAACCAAGAACTGTGTGGGGTTGACTGCAGGCTGGGTGGCTCAGGGAAATCTCCTGACTTAGCTCCAGTAGTGAAACTAGTCCATTTTGACCTATTTCCCTCTTTAGAAACATCCTGTGGCACTGGTGTTCTACTCTTAGCCCTTTTATCCGAACATTTCACAGCACTGAGTGTATTTTTCCCCCCGGTGTGCTATATGGAAATTCTAGGATCCACCACTCATTTTAACATGGCTGCAGGGGTGTGCTTGGCACGACCCACACTGAGGGACACAATTTCCTGGGAGTGCAGCCCCCCTGTAGCACACAGGGCTCTTCTGGTGCAGCTGGCTCCAGAAATGGAGTAGCCAAAGGCATTGGTGAGGTGAGAGGTGTTGAGTTCAGGCCTCCCAAGGCACTGGCTGGCAGCACAACCCCTGACGGATTCATTAGCTCACTGCATCGCTACACTTCCTCTGAACTCTGCAACCCTGTGCGGCACTTCCTTTCCAGGAAGCGCACTGCTGGATTCCCACTCTCCCAAGGAAACCACACTCCTGCTGCTGAGCAGGTCTCAGAGACCGCCTGGCCTGTCCTGCTATGCAGGCTGCTTCATGGATGGAGCTCCTTCCTCAGAGAAAAATATCCTTGTTCCATTACTGGACAAATTAGCTGAACTCCTTCCTTTTGTTCCTAGCAGGGCCAGCGTCTGGGAGGCAGTTGGGAAAGCGATGGGGGAAGCTGAATGTTCTGGCAGGAACTGGACGGGCAGTGAAAAACTGTCCAGAGTGTGGCTATGGCAAAGGCTGTTCTTTGATCCACAGGAGGAAGGTTTTAAGTGCACCTTGGTTTGCCCAGAGCTGGGCTTTTATTAACGGCTGATGAAGATACCTTAGGAGAGAGCAATAGCATGGGAGAGGATTTGGACACTTGATCTTTCTGAGCAGGACTAAGAGAACATCCCTTTCCTCCCTTGTCCAAACACACTCTTTTCCCTTAAACTGGCCACGATGTTAATGAATTTCTGCCACTTAAGAGTAAATAAGCATCTGTAAGTGAGACAAGTGACTCCTGGTGGGAAAATGGGCAGAGCCTTCACAATGGTTCTCCAGGCTGGGCTGGACCCATGTTGTCTCCTCATAGGCAGTGAGAGGCCCAGCCATTTCTCTGGTCAGAGATGTGATCCCCCAACCCAGAGCAGCAGAAACCACCAGTATGGTTCCACCAGCATCTGCTCACAGCTTTGTGGGAGCTGATGTGAACACCTGCTGCAGGCACAACATGGGGAGCTGATTTCCTGCTGCCCCTGCCCAGGCTCCCCAGCTCTGTGAGGGGGAGTTTCAGGAGCCAGTCTCCTAATCTCTGTGTTTGATTTAGGTGACTAAATTTACACTGTGAATAACATTCTCTGACTTTCTCTCTGGGATCATTTAGTTTTCTCTGATCTTAGTCACAGGAGCTATGAAATCACTGTCACTGGCACCAGAAAAACTCACCAGTGCTAGGCTACTGCCATACCAGCAGCTTGATGGAGAAAGGATGGTTCCAGAGGTTTTTAGGGGAAGGACAGGGCCAACCAGTCCTATACTTGTCCCTTGTAAATTACAGCAGGCAATACTGAAGGGAGTCTTGTTCTCCAAGGACAGAGTGGCTGCAGAAACTCTGGAGTCTGGGCTTAGTGTGATCTCAACTGCGGAGAAACAGTTTGAGAACAGCAAAATGCAGTTCAGCAAGAAGAAATGCAAATGTAAAACAAAGCAAGCTGTAGGTAGGAGATCTGGGGAATAACCAATGGGGCAGCACAATAGCAGGGAAAAATCCAGGGGTTGCACAGCACTGAAAACTGAAACTTGGCCAGCAGTAAAGGGGTCAGGTATTGACTTGGGGTTCTGGGGCAAGGCAGAGGAGATGACTGCCTTGTGCTGCCTGTGCAGGACCCATTCACAGTCCCAGGCCAAGAAGTAGTCTGGAAGAAAACAATACAAAGGATGAACACACAGAAATATTGCTCTAAGAGAAAGGAGTGAAGAAGCTGGGCCCATTAAGCCTAGAAAAGAGAAGTCTTGGGGGTGGGAAGTGGGTGGTGTGGAAGGAACAGTCTTTCATATGTTGTAATGGAAAGGGTGGTCAGCTGGTTTCTGTGCAGCCAAGGCAGGGTAAAAAGCAACAGACTCCAACTGCAGCAGGAAAGGTGAAGGTCTGACATTTGAAGCAAGATGAGGTTAGGAGACCTTGAGATGGGCAATTCAGGAAAGTTATTCAAGCCCCTTTATATTAAGTGGCTGGGAAGAAACCTCTCTTAAAAGAAGTCCAGGTTTAATCCTGCCTCTGTGGGATGGATTATGAGTTATGTTCCCAGGGTTTAAATAAGGAAAAAATTAAAAAAAAAAAAAAAAAGTAGCTACTTTTTTTTTGAGGATGGGTTCCTCAGAACCAAGAGAGCACATAGGGTATTTTTCAGCCATGTCCCACCTATGCAACCAGCTTCCTCAGCACAGGTGTGTGCTGGAGTTTCCATGTAAACCTGCTGCTCCAGAGCTCTTGCCTGCAGCAGGCTTATGACAGCAACATTCAAAATGGCATCTCAGACCATCCACCTCATTCACTTCGTTTGCACAGCCATTGAGTGCATAGTGCTATTTAAAAATCCAGCCTAGAGCAGTTACCAACTTCAGCCTCCTGTAAACCACCGAGGTTGTTTCTGCTTCACACGTAGCATTTTATGCAAATAATTTCTTACAGTATTTGGACAATTGCAACAACTTGTTTATAATTCCTCACATGAGTTTGAAGACTTTTGCATAGAAATCAGTGCTGAGAAGAGATGTTAAGTGAATGGTTGTGTTGAACAAAGTCCCTGCTCTCTACCAGATGCTTCTGCCATGTCCCGTTCTGCCAGCACGTGTTGTCCTGTCTGCAACGTGTGCAGCTTCCCCAGTCTCTGTCGCCAGGGCTATTTCATTTTGACTGAGCTGAGTGTGAGAGTGAAGTTGTGCCAGGAGAACTGAAGCATAGTCCCATCAAAATCATCTCACTTGGCACAGAGCAAACACCAACACTTTCAGTCCTTAACAGGTGCAACCAGCCAATGTACAGGAAACAGGTACTTTACACCCAGAATATCTGATAAATGACAAGGGCTGTAAGTCAAGCACTCAAAATTATGGAAATCCCATAATTCAATCCCTAAAGCACACTGCATTTATGGCCTCATGCTATGTAACATGCTGTGATCTGTGGCTGCATGATCCACTAGGGTTTATTCCCTGAGAGGGCCGTGTTACCTTCATCTTGTCCTCAAATCAGTGTGCTCCAACATTCTGCTTTTCCATTTCTTCACAGACTCTTTCTAACGCTCGTCACTTCAGCACTGAGTGAGTGTTCAGGGTTATTAATGAAGCTGTTTTCTCAGCCACCTTTTCAGGTCCGGAGCTAGGGATGAGAGGATGGAGTTATGCCTATTTAACAGGTGCAAAATAAAAGAAAAAAGAGATTTAGGTCATAAGTACTCATTCATTTTGGATACACATTTTGAACCAATTAGGGTCTAAATTTTTTTATGTTTTTGGCACTATATAGCACTTCGTTTAGTCAAACCCCAGATCCTGATGTCTGTGACTGCATCTGCAAATCTTTAGCACTTCTGTAAAGCAGCTTGGGAAATGAGGAAGGTGCGGCTGCTCCTGTGAAAGCTCTTGCTTATTGTGGCTCACCAATTCACAGAGTAACTTCAAGACAGGGGTAGACATAGACCCAGCTCTCCAGGGAGGCATCAGCTGTCTACCCAGGAGAACCACCTTGCTTTCTGCAGTCTCTTGCTTCACTGACTTGATAGGAGTTTCCCAGCCCTGCTAAGAAATTAGAAAGCCTAGCTGCCCAGCTTATTGCTCCCTTCAGCCAAGGTCCAGCCTGGGTGCTAAAGAGGTTCCAATCCAGGGTAAAATGCAGGAAGTGATCATATGCACAAGACAGCTGAAGCTAGACTGTGAGGGCAAACCCATTTCTGGAAATTTCTAGGTCTTCAGTACTTGGCTTTGCCACTTTTATGTGGGTTTTTTTGAATGTCATTAGTAATGCTTTTTTTTTTTTTTCTGCCCATATTTTAAATGAAGGAAACTGTAGAAAGAAAATGCCAAATGTGCTAGCTTTCCAGATATGGACACTGAGCTCCAGGTAGATGGGGTCCATCTGGAGAGGAAGACCAAGCCTGGCTAGAGCTGAAGGGTTGACAGGAGGTTGGCAGGGTCAGACCTGCACATACATGAATTTCAGTCTCAAGACACCGATTATTAGAGTTCAATCCAGGCTATTTTGAAGGGTTGAACCACATTCTCCTTCTCCTGTCCTGTGCAGATCAACTGGTTGTGTATTTAGTTGAGCAACCTCTAATTTGTTCCCTGCAAGGACTTAGCAACTCATGAGCAAATACTCAGATGTACACTTACAAGAGTCTACAGGTCAGCAGATCTCAAACCCTGGTAGAGTACATCCATTCAAGGCCAGACTTTCTCTCACCGCTGTCTTCACAGGCCTCGTCTACCTTCTGGGATCAGTCAAAAATGAACCAGATCACCCAGCTGTGCTTGGGACACTGAAAAGGTTCAGCTACCAGACGCCCCCGAGTCAACCAGGGTTTCTTTGCTTCCGCTGCCTGGGCTGAGCCCACCAGTTGAACTATCCAAGCGCATGGACGTGGTGTGCGGAGGATGCAGATGTTGTCTGACGGTTTGACTCATCTCGGTGGCAGTCTCGTTCGGTGATGATGGGGAAGGCCCAAAGAGGAAGGGCAGTGACCCGTTTAACCAGAAGGGCTGATCCACCCAGGGGTAGATTTACTGGTGATGGCAGGGGGCCATGGCCCCAGCTTCCTTTGTGCTTCCCAGAGTGTCCATTTTCAGGCAATATAAGAGCAGGAGAGGCACACGTGGCTGTTCAGCCCGGCCATGGTGGCAGCAGGACTCAACCTTGGGACTCTGCTACTGCTGCAGTGAATCCAACCGCAACAACGGAGCAGCACAAATTGTGCTCCCAGGGGATGAACAATGCCTGATGGAGGATTTGATGTGCACAGGACTTTGGTTGACTCCATGATCCATGGCATGGGGGTGGATGGTGTCTCTAAAATTAATACATGACTCTTGAGTGTATTACATTGCTGCTTCATGATTCCATTTAGAGGAAAATATCCTTCAACAGCACCCATCACCACAAAACATGTTCAAGACTCACAAGGATTGAGTACAGCTTATTTAGGACATGTTCTTGCAGATAGACTCTGAGACACCCACCTCGGCAGGAGATGGCTGTGAACAACACTCATGCTAGTATTGTACTTTCACCCCAATGGGATCTGCTTCACTTTTGGATTACGGGGGTGTGTACACCAGTTTTCCCTTCTCTCTACCCCATTTGGCAGGAACAAGAGCTTCCCAAATCCTTCAGCTCACGCAGCATGATTGGAGGAGGTGTTCAGCACAAGCAGCTGCGCTGACAGGCTCACATGCAGTGAGCTTGTGCCCAGGCTTGTGTGATGCTTGTACAAGCAGTGCTGGAGCCCAGTTGGAGGCAGCATGGAGGAGGACAGGCAGCGTGGGGCAGAGTGGCTGTGAAGGAGGGGACAGGGGAGCTGTGCAGGCACACTTGGTGCCGGTGCAAGTAGCACTGAATGGCAGAAGCACACTGCAGAGTTACAAAAACACACAAATGGGTGTAAGCCCCATTAGCCTGGACAGTGCACTGGCACGTGCTGTCACACCCTGGCACACACAGCTCTCACCTGCTGCCAGCTCTCTGGAAGACAATCCAGAGTCACAAATCAAGCTGCTGAGGGAGGCAGCAGTAGGGCTGAGCCCCTGACCCAAACCTGGTCCATACCCCAGAGCCCCCAGCCAGGGCTCTTCTATGTCTTTTTGAGAGAAACACAAGGAAGGAGGCCCACGGTCAAACACCCAGACACCAAGGGAGGACTCGCTTACTGCTGGCTATTTCAGAGGGCTTGCAAAGTCCCACAGGTTTCACCAGGGAGCTTAGAGCAGCAGATGGAGGGAGGGAGAGGGAGCAGTTTCAGATGATCATCAATCCTGTGCTTTCCATCCTTGCATTTTGGTACACTGGCAAGAGAGAGGTGCTGTGTAATCAGCCTCCTGGGACATGGCTACTTTTCCTACAGTTTTGTATGTGGCTGCCAACAACGTAAGCCATGTCAGCAGTGATGGTACAAGGCCCTGACTTGAAGACTTGGTCCTCCTAGTGTCCCTAATAATGCCAAAATTGGTTTCAAAGAAGGGACAGGAAAATAGAAATTGCTTGCCACCGTTCTTTACCTGAACCCCAAAGTAGGTGTCCAAGAATCATGTCATCTTTTATCTTACTTAAGCCAAACTTTTTTACTTCACTTTTGAGTATCCTTGTTTTTCATATCAATACCTGATCCTTTGTGAGCCATCTGAAACTGCTGGCCAGCAGGGCATCTTGTCCACCTGCACAAACCAATTTTCTGGCTCTGTGAGAAGTGTGTCAGTTTATCAGTGTGAAATGAGTTGTCTTTCCATTTCTTTGAACATCTTGTGAGGGGGTGAGCAGAGGAACAGACTTATCTCTAAGCCAGGAATTGCTCTGCACATCTCTATCACGCGGCATTTCGCTAGTTTCCACTCTAAACTAGTGGGACTTTTAGTCCCTACATAGGGAAATTTCCCTGCAGCCCTAATTTAGGTCAGCACCCATCTTTGGATGTCTACTGATTTCACAGCAGGGAAGACAGAAGCAAACACAAATGCCCAGGGAAGCTTCCCCCTATCTACCATGGCATTACAGTTATAAAGGATGAATCTACTCTTCTTTATCCCATTCCTCATGCAGTCTTCCTCCTTTCCCCACTGCTGCACACTGAGAGGCACCTACCAGGTAGTTCTATCTGGAATTTGGAGCACAGCCTTGAACGCTTTGGCACATCACATCACATCTAAACCATCCAGGTGCCAGCTGGCACTTAGGCACACTCAGAGCATGGCTGGGAGAAATGCAGAGGTGCTGCTACCCCAGCCTGCAAACTCAGCTGCCAAGCAGTGTGGGACCTTGCAGCCACAGCAGATGGTTGCTGTCAGATGAAGAAATGTGCTGCTCCAAAGTCCTGTCTGAATGAGGCTCCATGTCACACGGGGTACATTGGCTGCTTGCCTTGCTCCTAAAACTTGTGCATGTGATCCATCAACCCGCAGGTATTCAACAGAGAGCAGAACAGGTGCCTGTATCCACTTTGCAGACACAAAGAACACTTTGCACATGCAGCTGAAGGGGTTTGTTTGGACCAGTGAGTTTGGCTTTGCCAGCTTATTACACTGGCTGCATGGCGTGCCATCATTCTGTATGACAGCAGTGCCAGCACGCACCAGCACCTTAGCAACTCATCCATTACCTGCTGTCTGGAGCTAGAGAGGTCACTGACTCCAGGGAAGGTCTGCACAGAAATAAAGGGATGCCTGACTTGGCAAACACCTGCAAAATGCAGCAATGCCTCTGCTTGGCACCCACGGAGTTTGCCTCTGTCAGAAGTCAGCAGCCCACATACCGAGAGGTATTTGCCAATACCCACACGTTAGCTCTAGAGCAAACCCTCTCTTGCTGCTTGTCTGGTCACCAAGCGTTCAGCACCACCTTGAGATGAGCTGCCAGTAGCCATTGTATCTTCATGCAGAAACTACATGTTAGCCTGCTAGTGGCTCCATTGGATTTGGGAGCCTGCAGGCCTGCATCACAGCATTGCTGCCCAGTTCTTTCTGACATACCCCATGCAAGTATCCAGCAAATCCAACCAGCCCAGATGATGCTGCTGGAATTGGGGCCATGGCAAAGCAGAGGCAGGAACTGCAGTGTCAGGAGTCAGGACTTCCCCTGACAGTGTCACAGATGACAACTCAGCAGGTTCATTCTGCAGAAACTAGATAACATCAGCACAAGGTGGTGGTTACTGGCAAATGATCCTGTTCCTGAAGCTTCATCTGAGATGTGACAGGCTGTAGTGAAACCCTCTTGTCAAACAGACCCAAACTCTGCTTTTGCTGAAACCCATGTGGGCTTCTGGAAGTACCTTCATGCTGGTATTTCCTAGAAGCTCCAGATCGCAATGCTGGGAGCCAGGGCTGGAAAAGTCCATCACCTTGCTAACACAGGACTTTTTTGTCTAGCAGAGTCCCTTAATTAGACAGGGATGCAAGGCTGTCAGTCTTACCCACAGTGACTCACCTCCTGCCTTGAGCAGCAAAAGCTTTTCCTTCTCCATAGGCCCTAACCTTTCTCCAGTCCCCATGGCACCCCACTTATGCTCTGCACAAGCACTGCAGGACACAGGACTGGAGAGAGAGGAAAGTCGTTCCTTCCTTCTTGGAAGTGACTGAAGTTCAATAAACCCCTTAGCAGATGTTTTTAATCAGCATTAAAGCCATCCTAGTACAACTGGGCTCACTCCCTACCCCCTGGGTAGACTTTGCTCGCAAAGAAATTATCAGCACAGGCAGTCATACCGCTGCCTGCTCCACCAAATGTGTCCCTGGGCTGAGGTCTACTTGAGTTGGTCACTCCACTTTAAAAAGCCAAACCAAAGAAAACCTACTTTAACTCTGCAGCAAGGCATCTGAAGGAGGGTTTTTCACCACCAAATTAGCCCATCACTTTAGATAATTGGGAATAATTTCTTGCTCACCCTGACAGACAAAACCAAAGGTTCAGCATCATTAAGCTCTCTCATCCCACAGTCACACACTGCATCTTCAGCCCAAACTCAGCCCCAGGTGATGTGTGGGCTGCAAAGCCTGGTTCCAGCCTTTGTGAGCTGCTCTGTGTCTCCCTGCCAGCCTCAGCACCAGCTCCTTCACCATCTTCTCCCCAAGTGTGTGATGAGGAGCTGAAATGTCTGTGCTGGGCAGGAGACCCAGCTGCATGCAGGCAGAACCACCGAGGCTGTCACGGGCTCACTGAGGCTTGGAGAAGCATCACAGGCACTGGCTGTGCCTGGAACTACAACTCTGTTGCAGTGGAGGAGTCAGCCTGAGCTGACAGGTGCTCACAAGGCTTCTGCTCCTGGGGATTCACATGCAGAGAAAAGGCAAACTCCAGCCATGATGTCATAGGTGCCACCCCTTGCCAGTGGCCCTGACCAGCAAGAACTCTTGGCTGCAGGGAAGGATCTTTCCTTCATATGGAAAGTGTTGGTGACAGAGCTGCTGATGGCAAGCTCCCTGCCCATGGGTCTGGCTACACCTCTGACAGCAGCTGCCCTGCCTGCCTCCATCACCCACCTGGGAGATGACCCTGGCAACCCCACCAGCTGCATGGTGTGGGGAGACTCATGTCCTGAACTGGGGATAAGTGACCCACCCAGCTCTGCCCACAGAGCAATTTCCTGAGCCCAGAAGGAGCATGATGCCTCCATGTGAGCATGGGATGCACATGGACCCATTCCCTTTGTTTGTGCCCACCTCCCACCCTCTTGTCCCCCTCCTTCAATCACCAGCAACTGCTGAGCACAAATAAGCAAAAAGTGTGGAAAGCCATGGGGAGCCAGGTGATGCTTCCAGGCTCAGGGAAGCAGCAGCTGGGTTTTTCATTTCTCTGTGAACATCTTGGCAGCATGGTTTTCCCTGTCCCCAGTCCTGCGCCCAGCCATGGGCCATGCTGGTGCCAGTAGTGCTCAGCAAAGTCTGGCACTCATGGTAATCAAAGCAGTTTCCATGACTCTTGGTAAATATCAAGGCTGGGGATTTTTGGGGCTTGTTTTCCAGCAAGTTGAGTAGAAGAACCAATAAGGACAAAGACAAATGAATACCTGTTGCCCTTGGCTCAAAATGAAACAAGAGAGACAGGTCACTGGCAAAGGTTAGTTAATACCACTTACCACAGCGTTACAGTTGCCCTCAGCCGCTGACAAGAAG